TTACATTAAAATTAAAATAACATCTATCTTATATGTTCTACACTCCCTTAGAAGACAATAAAAATGAGGGAACATTAATTTCACAATCTATACCTTGTGCATTTTCAATGAAAAAATATAGACTATACCCCAGATAGGCACCATGATTATTGTGAAAACCCTACAATTCTATTTTCCACTGAAGGCTTGAAGTCCAGTGATGGCACGGCCGAGGATGAGTGCGTGAATGTCGTGTGTTCCTGTAATACCAAGGGCAAAAAAGAAATTAAATCAAGAGACACTCTCATGACAAGATGGCTTTTCTGACAAAGAAACTCTTTATACCTTAGGCTACATCAAAATTAAAGATCTAAACTCTATATAGCACTTTCCCTACATAGTATATTTAAAGATCAAAGTTTCATATTCCAAGTTTCCATACAGAGCTTATCAAACACCAACATCCACTGTATCTCACCTTCATATGTGTTCACAGCTTCGAGATTCATTACATGGCGGATAATATGATATTCATCAGAGATGCCATTGCCACCGAGCATGTCTCTGGTCTGACGCGCAATATCAAGGGCCTTTCCGCAGGAGTTCCTCTTCAGCAAACTGATCATCTCTGGGGTAGCCCTGAAAGGTAAGTAAGCAATAGTAAATTGGGAACTTAATGCATAGCCTATAAATCGCAATTCTTGTAAGTGTTCAAAATAAAGCATGTGGTTCATGTTAACAGATCTAGGGACAAATTATAAGAAAAAATCATCTAATGTTAATATGAAAATGAACACAATAAGTGTTGTGATGGATGAAAAAGGCTTAACTTGAATACAAAAAAAAAAAAAAAAAAAAAAAAAAAAAAAAAAAAAAAAAAAAAAAAAAAAAAAAAAAAAAAAAAAGGTGAGAACTCTTAACACTGAAATAATTATACTGTGGTAGTCTGAGTGAGTGCATTGGCTTGTGAGGGACAGGTGAATGATTATTAAACAGGAATTTTGAAAGGAGGACAATAAATCTACAATACAAAAGATGTCTTTCATGGTATTTAGTCAATACACTTTATGACTAGACATAGTAAACTCCCAATTGACAAAGGACTAAAAATAAGCTTCATTTATGCTTTTCATGAAACATTTTTTTGAAATGATGCTGCATATCACATCTATTCTGTTCAGCATAAAAAAAACAAAAACATCTAACCCCTTTCATGAAATTGACTGAATATTTGACAAAGATGATAAACTTTTGATATCCTTAAAATAATTCACATCTCCAAAGCAATAACTTCCAAGCTTAGTTCTTGTTCAGCATTTATTCTATGGTGATAAATCCGCATATAGATGCAATACAGTTCTCTAGGAGTACTAAGTATCAGTTAAAAAAAAAACTGTCATAAAATTTCTTCAGATGTACTTTCAATTCTGTCCCAATACTAAATGCCCTGAGTGAACCATCTATGGAACAGAACACAGTTAGATGAAAAGGGACAAGGGAGGAGGGAAGAATAAGATAAAGTAAAAAGGAGAATAAAGATAAAGTAAAAAAAAGAACAACAAAAAGGATAAGAGAAAAGGCTCCTTCACTCACTTTCCTTCGTCCTTGAGACGGCCAACCTGCAGACACCCTTGCAAGCCCAGAGAGATCTCGGTCAGTGCATCAGCCATCTTCTTCTGAATCAACTGGTTGTTTGCAAGTGGTCGTCCAAACTGCTTTCGGTCTAGGGTGTATTGCCGCGCAGCATCCAAGCAGAACTCCGCAGCTCCAAGGGCACCCCAAGCGATGCCATAACGTGCATTGTTGAGGCAGCTGAATGGACCCTGGAGAAGGTTTTATTTGTTTATAGGTCTATTTTCATTTTCATTTTTTGTTTATTCAGTTTACCTTCATTCATCTTTCTTAGAATAACAATATATGCAGAAAAAAGGAGAAACACAGCTAGTTTTTCCTGTCAGAACTAAGAAGAAAAAAAGGAAGAAATAAAATAAAATAAAAGAGAACAGTAAAGGCAAGAAAGAAGGAAGAAAGAAAAAAAAGAAAAAAAAAAGACAACAAAGAAGAAGGAAAAAATATATAAATATAGACATTAATATATATATATATATATATATAATATATATATATATATATATATATATTATATATAATATATATATATATATATATATATATATATATATATATATATATATTATATAAAATGTAAGATTCACTCCCTAACCTTCAGTCCTTTAACTCCAGGCAGCATGTTCTCTTCCGGCACCACCACATCATCCATCAGGATCATGCCCGTGTGGGAGGCACGGAGCGAGAACTTCCCCTGGATCTTGGGGCAGGTGAGGCCGGCCATTCCCTTCTCCAAGATGAATCCGCGAATGTGACCGTCTTCGCACTTGGCCCAAACCACGGCGATGTCAGCGATGGGGAGTTGGTGATCCTGTGGGCGTTTTTGAAGAAGAGGAAAGAGAAGGAGGGGGGGGGGGATATTGTTAAATATATTGGTGAATATGCTAGACTAATATGAGTAATGTAACAACATGATGTTATTTAATCTGTTCTGGTAAAATGTGTAGCCTATCTGAAGCAGTATAAGACAATAGAACAAAAATCAGAGAGAGATGAGATACATAAATATTTAATTTTTTTTTTTTTTATAAGCAATGGGTCATACTATTTTTTTTTAAACGTTCAATTCAGTTTGTTTTTACATAAAATGTGTATTTTGTGCAATGTAAAAGACCACATGCAAAGGTAAATAAAATATATAAAACTAGTAACAAAAACTTGCAAAAGTATTTTCCTTATCTTCATGAAATTCAAAAGGCAGACACACAGATACACATAACTTTACACTTACCATGTTTTTGAGCCATTCAGAATGTAGACTTTGTCCGAGGGAACGTATTTTGCTCGTGTCTCCATACCAGCTGGATCGCTGCCATGGTTGGGCTCAGTCAGTCCAAAGCAACCAACGATTTCTCCTCTGGCTGTAAAGTATATTACGCTTTAGGGGACCTACTACTACTTAAATTTCATGGTCTCTTACTCTCTTTTAAATAAAATGACGCACTATGTAAATGAAAGAAGATTACAGCACACAAAGAAATGAAGTACAGTGCATTCCTAGCACTAATCTCTGACAGTAGAACATCACTAATAATTTCAATATTAATGTTGATTATAAACCTCTAGGGAATTTGTCACTCAGTCATAAGTAACAACCAAAAAGTACATAATTTGGATAGCATAGAAACATGTGCAAAATTGTCCCTATGCCTGTATATTTAACCCAATGCCAAAGGGAAAATGTTGCGTTCATTTTAGTATTGTTTTGTCAAATGTTTCTGTACACAGATGGCTCTGCCAGTGCTTAACCACAGACAAGTCAATTAGTAAATCTTGTGACCTTAACTTTCCATGAAATAGAGGGAAAATGCTTTTATTTTTGTTATACACATTATAATCACTATATTGTTATTGACATTACTAACAGCAGTATTAAGTACTAGATAATATTATCGAAAATCAAGGATAAACTGGTGAGACAGGTAGTTCTTGTAATGTGGAGCCATCTTTGTGTAAAAACAATTACTAAAATTAAACACACAGTGGCATGTACGCATATGCCATCCCCGGCCGAAAGTGGTTAACACACATGCAAATGTAATTACATACTTCCCTTACAGGCCTTGACAACCACTAGTGTCATAATCATTCTTTTTAAAATGGAAATAACCCATCAGCAAATTATTATGGAGCAGATAAAGAATACCCATAAGTGAAAGCAAATAAATATAATACAACACTAAAGAGAGAGAAAAAGGCAGAAGAAACCACACCAAAATTCCTAGTAGTAAGTGAAAAGAAAGAAAAAAGTGTGAATGAAAAACCCTCAAAATAAATTTACAAGCACTGATCTGTCAATATAAATGATGAAGTAAACTTTATAAAAAAAGGAAAAAAAGTATAATGAGCTTAAAAAAACATTCAACACAAATACTTAAATAAACATATAAATAACATAAATAAAAAGAAAGAAAAGAAAAAAAGAAAAAGAAAAAAATACATATATACACATACATACATATAAATGCAAATGACAGAAGTCCTAACATGACAATAACAAACCACTGCCACCTAGTAATTGCACAGTCCACTGTAGATTTGTTCTGTGACTGTTATTTATAATTAGAAGGCTCTACAAACATTTAGTCACCTAGGAGTCACTTAGTAAGCCTACCTGACCTCACCTGATATTCACATTCCTAGAATTTTAAATGTTTTCTAGTATAATTAACATCACTACTGTTATATTATCATCATTATTATTATCAATAATAATTATATTATTATTAACACTGGGGTTTCTGAATTATCATCTATAAAAATACCAAAAAGAAAAATGAGGAAAAAAAAAAAAACTAGTCACTGATTCCTTGGTGACTAAGCTCTTGTGGGGCCATCTTCTTGTGTAAGCACAATCAGTTTAACCAAAATAAAAAAATTACACAAGATAAACACATACAACCCATCCCCATAAAAAGACGCCTAAATTCCATCTACCTAAGAAGCATAAAATCCTTACCGAGCTTGGGGAGGTATTTTAATCTCTGCTCCTCTGTGCCAAAGTCCCAGATGGGATACATGACAAGGGACGACTGCACGGACATTGCTGACCTGCAATGATATTTCTGATAACCGATTCTGAACAAATAAATACTGAAATGACGGTCTTTCACAACCGGAAATGAAGCGGTTTGCGGTGTAAGGAGATTGTGATGTGGGAGAATGTACCGGTTTAGGGCTGTGCTATCTGTCTCTTCTGGTCTTTGATATGAATTAGTTGAGAATGAATATGTCTTTTGATGTGGGAAATGAAATTCCTTTATGATTATCATAACTTTGGAAACTAAATGCATTTCCACTAGAAAAGAAAACCAGATGACCATGCTGTTGCAGTTCTTCATAATCATGTAAAAGACATTGATAAAACAAATTGTGGAGCAAGATGCAGTAATTGTAATACTATTTCATAAATCATAACATTCAAGGCATTCAACCCTAAAACACATTGCAAAATAATTGAGAAAAATATGTATCCTGGTTCTCTTAAACTTATCAAAGAATCAATCATAATCCTAAATATAATGGTAAGAACAGCAACATACTCCTTTCCCCTAAATGCATACAGAGCATCTTTCAAACTCTGCTAACTTCCACAAATTCAAGAAGAAGGAGATGAAATAAAAAAACAGAGCAAATCAAAAAGAAAATTGAAGCAGAAATAAGGACAGGAATGAAAAAAACAAAAAAAAACAGATGATGATAATAACAATAATCAACAAACAATTACCAATAGGCTTACACTACTGATAACATTACTGCTACTAACCAATAATACCAATAATGACAACAGAAGAAGAAGAAAAATAACATCAATAACAAAATAATAATAAACTCACCTATAAGCAGAGTCGACTCTCTCCACCTCGCGTGCAATGAGACCATAAGCGACGGACGAAACACCAGGACACCCATAGCCGTGGATAGTGGGTCCGAGCACACCCATGTCTCCCATTTCACTCATGATCTCTCTGTCGAAGGCTGTGCAAGAGAGTTTAACAATTTACCAAACAGGGTTATTGATGTCTCTAAAGAAACTGACAGAATAAGAAAAATGAAAAATGAGATGAGGAGAGGAGGAGGAGAAGAAGAAGAGGAAGAAGGAAGAAGATGAAAGGAGGAGGAGGAAGAAGAAACAGGATTTGTGTACTCAAACTGATGCATTAACATCATGGTTGGCCTCAGCTCAAAGGGCATGGAAATGATGATTAATCCACACGATCATCTACAACATCTGACTGAATGATAAGCTACGAATAATGACTTTCTACAAATTACATTTTCTATATTCAAAACAACAACATATAACATAGTATCTTCACATAATTACAGCAAAAACAACAAGAGTCTTAAACTTTATATTTCATAATAATAATACAAGTTCAAAGACAGAATGAAATGGAAAAGGAATAACCGAGAGTGAGAGAATGAGAAAAAGGAAGACCGAGAAAAGACAGTAACATAACAGAGTAAGAACAGTACAAGAAGAAATGCAAAAAGAATAAGTGACAAACAGGGAAAGACTGAGAGAGAGAATGTACTAGAAATCAAAAAAGGAAGACAAGATTTAAGTGCAAGAAGGAGAAAGAGGAGATAGAGTGAAAGTGAGAAAGAGATTGAGAGTGAAAGAAAGAGAAATGAGAGAGAGAGAAATGAAGTGAAAAAAAGAGAAAGATGTAGAGAGACTGAGAGGGAAAGAAAGAGAATTGAGAGAGAGAAATGAAATGGAAAAAGAAAGAGGGGAAGAGATTGAGAGTGAAAGAAAGAGAAAGAGGGAGAGAGACAGAGTGAAAGGAGAAAGCAAAAGAGAGAGAGGGAGTGATAAAAGAAAAGTGGGCAGAGATGGAGAATGAGAGAGAGAAAAAAAGTGTGTTTAGAAAAGATGAAGAAGGGTGAGAGTGAGATGAAAAAAAATGAGAAAGAGAATAAATAGGAGACTGAAAACTAGAGAAAGAGAAAACTTACTTTCATTTCTGTTGGCTAGGATGATTCTCGGCATAAGTTTTTCCTGGCAGTACGCATAGAAAGCATCTCTAATCATAATCTCATCCTCGGTCAGCTGGCTCTCCAGGTTCAAGGCATCCCGCCAATCGAATTTGGCTGAAAATGTAAGAGAGATTACAAAACAGTGAAAAAAACAATTGTATTTGTAAATGTCCTCTTCTCTAGCAAAGAGAATAGATAGATAGATAGATAGATGAGAGAGAGAGAGAGAGAGAGAGAGAGAGAGAGAGAGAGAGAAGAGAGAGAGAGAGAGAGAGAGAGAGAGAGAGAGAGAGAGAGAGAGAGAGAGAGAGAGAGAGAGAGTGAGAGAGAGAGAGACTGAGAGAGAGAGAGAGAGAGAGAGAGAGAGAGAGAGAGAGAGAGAGAGAGAGAGAGAGAGAGAGAGAGAGAGAGAGAGAGAGAGAGAGAGAGAGAGAGAGAGAGAGAGAGAGAGAGAGAGAGAGAGAGAGAGAGAGAGAGAGAGAGAGACAGAGAGAGAGAGAGAGAGAGAGAGAGAGAGAGAAAGAGAGAGAGAGAGAGAGAGAGAGAGAGAGAGAAGAGAGAGAGAGAAAGAGAGAGAGAGAGAGAGAGAGAGAGAGAGAGAGAGAGAGAGAGAGAGAGAGAGAGAGAGAGAGAGAGAGAGAGAGAGAGAGAGAGAGAGAGAGAGAGAGAGAGAAATATACATATCATTTATATATCCTCATTTATATTTTTGCACTTACTTCATCTTAAGCAATATAACAAACTTTATAGAATAATGAAAAACAAAACAAATATTCACCTTTTGGTGCTGAAGATTTTTCCGAAGCTAAGAGTTAATGTTAAGGAATCTTCTTTGATAAACCTAATGTAATCTGTATTTTACTCAAACCAAAGCCCTTAGACATAAATAATACACAAACCTCTTCAATAGTTTGAGAGGCAAACAAAAGTCTGTATAAACTGATGAAATCATATCTGATAGAAAGTCAGTGAGATAACACACTAACATTATCACATGTAAAATCAGCAAGGCTTTCTAATCAGTTGAAATGAGCCAAAATGAGAGACAGTGACAACGCAAAAGCTATTTTCAGTCCATCAACTTAAGATAACCATCTTGACAAGTGAATTCCCTGAAACTAATTACAGACTTTTCATAATATCAAATAATAGTATAATTCCCATAACTAAATAGGAAATATCGCTGCTTTTACCAAAAATAATAACTTAACAATAGATAATAATATAAATAAGAAAATAATATAAATAATAATTTATAATATAACAAATGATGATTTTGGTATTGCTGGATCCCTCTCACTGTCTAGCTTCCAAATATACAGAAATTATTGCACAGAACCCCCCCCCCCCCACCACAGTCTTGGCCCCGATAGCAGATGAGGGCATGCAAGCTACCTGAGAAATAGCAGGGCAAAATGTAAATGATATACACAGAATCAGTCACTAAATTGTTTAATGCAGGTAGCTGTGCCTCCTGCCCCCCATGGGATGGGGAGGTTGCAGGGGGCGCAGCCCCCTGTATTTAAAAATATGGTGACTGATTCTGTGTATATCATTAACATTTTACCCTGAAATCTCCCTGGAAGCTTTCATCTCCCCCCCACTCATGGCCTTACCGAGGCCTGCCTTATATACTCTGCCTTGTACTCTGTTATTGCACTTATTCATAAGACAATGATTATTCAGACCTTTAGAGAAACATTTCATCATTGTTGCCCTCTCTGCCATTGGAATCAATTAATTCTCCACACCCATTTTTAATACAAAATTCATAAAGTTAGTAACATCTTAAAGAAAATATACTATAAAATTGTATTCTTGACTGTTAAACAAACCTTAAACTGTAGAGGGTAATCCTATGGAAAAGTTGTGTGTCACTATTATAAACAGATTTGGTACTGATGGAGTACTTATGATGTCTGCTCTCCAGATATAGAAATAAAAAAAAATTCTTGACCATTCCACACTATAAGTTCCTTCTTATAAGAGGGTTCAATCAATGTTCTGACAGCTGGTAGAGCATCCCCACATGGCTGTCATGACACTGACACAGCTTCCTTAAGAAATTACTACAGCCTATGTAATGCCAGCGCTCCTACAAAAGTAAGCAAACCTCCACCATATATATTCTGGCAAGAATGAGCCTAGCTTTATTGACAATGCATTAATAGGGAAACTTTCAAGTTCTGTCTTACAAGAGTTTATGTGGTGGAGGTTTAATAGTCTTGTTGACATGGAGATTATGGCATCTGCCTAATGTCATACCACTCTTACTCCCATACTGTAGCTATGTTTTATTTCCCCTGACTAGAAATACCATATCTGAAAGCACACATGAAATACAGTCCAAAAATACTAGTTATGTTGGTATTGATGAAGTGCAACTTTCTCTTTAAAGAATTATCCTACACATTCTTGGCCCCAATAGCAGGAGGGGGAGGGCATGAAATAATTCTAAAAATGGGTCAACTTTCTTGCTGTGAATGCAATAAGCTAGGGCATATGGAAGATGATGACAAAAAGTTGCTGTCATTGGTACAAGAACAAATCTGCTGGTACGAATGGTAATACTACACACAAAGGTGAAAGATAGCTGAAAGTGCTGCTCCCGACCAGTCTATTTAGTGCTCCCATGTTTCAGCTCTATCTTGCTGTGCATACCGAGATAAAGACAATATTCCTCCTCCTAGACTCTTTTTAGAGGGGAGGGGGGAGTCTTTTCCTTCCCTAGACCTGTGAGTGGAATAGATTTTGTTGAATAAATCTTCTTGTTGAGTTGGGAAATTAGTCTGGGCTCTGAGGCAATTGGACATCCAATAACTTTGTTATTTTTGAGTTACCATGGAAGTACGTAGAAGATCAGTTTCTTATAATCACTTTCTCTATTGTTTGCATATATCATTTTTCGTCTAAAGGGCTGCCAGAAAATTGACTTGTACCTTAGTCTTTGGTATGTCCTTACAATAAAAATTTGCACAGATATGTTCTATTCAACGTGTACATCCTTCTTTCAACCCCTTAGCCTAGCCCCCGCCCTTACTCCCAAAAAAATGCATTCAAAATCCCTAAAACCAATTATGTAAAACACCCTGTCCCGCAGCACCCCCACAGGATATCCCAAGACGCCAGAAATAATAAAAGGATACTCGTTGCATGGGGCTGAGGCGCTGCAACAGAGCTCTGGGCCCTAGACAAGAGCTGAGGCGATGATCTCAGGTACAGAGAGCGGAGGAGAGTTCTTGTTGCTGCCATATTTACTGATTTTGAACCTTCACAACCCGCTTTAACTCGTTGTACTTTCCAACTGCACTGTCGTCTCGCCTGGCCCCTACGGCGTAGTTTAATTTGGTCGAGATCGGTGCCAGACTCCTTTCTGTTACACAACAGCCTCAGCTGATTGAGAGCCGTG